AACTGCGACCTTTTGTCATTGCTTTTTTTGTACAAGACCTGGCAAATATCCCGTTTACCAGCTGTTGTCTCCACTATTTGGCGCTCATGTGATAGATAATACTCATTTGACCTCTTTTTTGAAATAAATCACTGTCAGAAAGAAAGTAAATATACACTTGAATTCTGCAAAGGCTTCTATTTCTACGTTTATTTAATGAACAATTAGTGTTACTGGTTACTTGTTCCACGGCAATGGCACGTGTAGGCAAAAGTAAAAGGAGTAGCACATAGGCACGACACCGTTGTTCGTCCACCGTATTCGACGATACCGGCCGCTACTTTTGGTGGGGGTGCAGTCTCGTCTTATGTGTAATTTTTATTATAGCGAGTGACATCACTAGTAAGGAAAGTGTAACGCTCGCAGGCCATAATAAAGATAAGTTTAGGTCTCGTGTTTCCCGTAGAAAATTCGTCTGCCAGTTCACAGGCACTAACTTGTTGCCTCTCAAGTAAGGGTTGTACTTTAAAACACCTCGGTCTCCCAGCCAAGTCTCGAATATCAGGAGAAACTAGAAGTCACCGCGATGAGGGTCTTATTGCACACAGAACTTCCATTGATGTCTTCTTTGGCGAGGTCAGGGTGTGCAATGACGTCGTTAAGTCGTGCCCGGGTGTAGCGGTGTCTAGTTACAGGTCCCACGTGTCGGTTGCATCCTTTGCTTCACGGCAATAGCGAGTACGCCTTATCTTTCTCAACTGGTAACCGATGCTCTTCTTTGGTTCCTAGAAGGTAGGTTCTGAGCGGCTACATCCCCAGTACCGCTTCTACTGGACTAATGACGCTGTCCGGCGTTGTATATGTCCTCATCTCCGGTATTTCTGCACCTCCTCACTTCCCACCACTCCTCTCCCTCCGCACCCTCAAAACGTCCTACGGAGCAGTTAACATACGGTCCCGTAGGCGGCCTAGAATAACTTGGGTGGCTCTTTCACTAAATAGTGGCTCATAGTGGAGTTCGACAGCCGTCTCGGATGTCTCAACAACCCCATTTTTGGACAGTATTGCTTGCCCCTTTTGGGACGGAGCTAGAAAAGACCCCCTAAAGAGGTGCTCGGATCGAAGCATTTGCA